TCTCACGAGTCTCTCGTGAATTGTGAAATCCAACACGCCGACTCTGTCGAGCGCGAGACCTCGGCGCGTCAGCGCCTGCGTGAGCTTTAGCTCATTGCCGATCTCCACGTGCACGCTGTGCTCCTTTTTCTTTACCGTGATCTCCCCAGACTCTAGGGAGAGGAAGTCCTTGTCACGCCTCACTGAGGCGATCTCTGCATCCCGGCTGACGCACTGCGACGGCGGGATGTAACGGACGATGCCGTCCTGCAGCATGAGCGCGGCCTTGTCCACGAGGCTGTTCGCGGGGTCGTAGTCACCTTCGATGACGACGCCCTTGAGGCGCGCAACTTGCGCGGCTCGGCGCTCCTCGCGCTCGTGCAGGGGCAGGCTCTTTGGGGTGACGCTGTCACCCTCGACCCTCATCTTCAGATCCTGGATACTGAAGGTGAGGCTTTCGAAGGCCAGGCGCCGCGCTGCGGCCTTGGTGCCTAAGGTCGGCTCTGCCGCCCCGAAGACCTTCTTGATGAGTTCTTCAAACTTCGCATCGCTGATGCGATCGGGTTGGTCGGCGACGCTGTAAGCGAGCGTGCCGAAGGTGCGGATGTCTGCCGCAAGGAGCTTCGCCGACTCGGCGGCTCCTAGGAGTTGTCCAGCTCTGCTGGAGAATTCTGCGACGCTGTCGACGAGGTTTGCCATTGTCCTGCAGGGCGAGAGAAGAAAACAGAGAGAGAGAGACACACACACTGTGCCGACTGCGGGACCTTACTAGGATAGACAGGCGCAAGAACTCGCTCTCTTTTCACTCTGCATCGAAAGACTTGCTGCTCCAGCACGTCTTGCAGTGTGGCCGGCCTGGGGCCAGGTCGCGAACTTCGCAACTCTTATACTTTTCATTCAAACAGCGACCACAGAGAAGCCTCTTGGCATTCTCACCGCGACTCGCGTGGAGCTTGCCACTGGCAAGATGACACCACGAGACGGCCCAGTCCGGGAGGGTGCACTGCACCTCCCTTCTGAGGCGAGGGTGCTCCTCGACCTCTGGCTCGGCGACGAACTCGTCTTCTCTGTCAGTGTCACTGGCACTGTCCTCTGTGTCGCTGAGCTCCTGCTGCTGCGAAACCTTCAGGGCTTCCACCCCCACTGGGGGTGCCGAGCCAGAGGAGGTTTTCCGGTGAGAAACCTTGCTAAGGTTCTCTCGCCTCAGGTTGAGCTGGCTGCTTGGCAGCGCGAATTGTTTCCCGAGCGGCTGGTCGGGAAGGAAGTCGCCATCTCTGATGGCAATGAGAACTTCCTCCAGAGCCCGCGCTGCGGGGATGAGCACGTTACGGCTGTACGTCTCGGTGCTCCGAGCACTGTCGTGCACATGGTGGGCGAGAAGCCTGCGCAGATCCAGGTTGACGCCAGCTTGCGAGGCCCACGTGAGGCAGGTCGCTTTGAGACTGTGACTGCTAAGGCGCTCTGCGTCTTCGCAGCCGGCGTTGGACAGCGCGCTGCGCAGCCAGGAGGTAATCTCTTGAGAGTTCATCGGGCGATCCGCTAGATCACCATCCGATGTGAAGGCAGGGATCACTGACCCGAGCGGAATGTCTCCACTGGAGCTGAGGCCCAACTTTTCTCGATTTGCGAGCCACTGACTCACCCAAGACTCTTCGAAGAAAACCACCGGGGCTACCAGCGGGAGCAGCAGGCGGCTTCTAGCCCCTACGGCGGTTTTCGCCTTGTGAACATTCGCCTGCATCCACACTGTGGCGCAGGGGTCCTCCGGAAGCTCAACCGAAAAGGAGGCAACTCGGGCCGCGTCACTGGCACGGGCGCATGCGAAGAGCATGAACAACAAGCCCCCAGACACGACACTGTCGTACACAGAGCCAGACAGCGCGATGCGCTCAAGAGTAGCCACCTCCGAGGCTTTGAGGGCGGGGGCCCGTCTCGGCGGAGGCGCGCTGGCTTCCGTGCTCTTACAAAGGCCCACGATGCGGGAGCTGGTCACCTCCGACTCGAAGGAAAGACCGAAAACTCCCGAGCACCAGTTCAGACTCTGAATCAGGCTGGGGGGGCTGCTAGCCCCTTTCCCATTCCTCATCATCCACTGGATGTATCGCCAGGTGGCGCGCTCTGACACTGGGAAGGGCACCACCACTGGGTCTTGGCAGTTTGCCCACTGGACAAAATTGCTGAGGGAGTTGAGACGACGAACCACTGTGTTTGTGGCTTTATAGCTGAGCGCTGCCTCTATGCTGAAGTCGAGCTCGTCCAGGTCGACGCAACCGGCTTCGTCAGCACACTGTGAGACGATCTCGAAGGCCTCTGGCCAGGCTTTTACCAAAGCCGTCAGTTTGAAAACCGCGCTGTCGCGGCGGTCGCCTTCGTACGCTGTACGACGGCAGCACACCTTAAGTGCGAAGGCTGTGTCTTCCGCTACTAGCGGCTGAGTGCTAGCGGAAGCTTTCCGCTTAAGCATCAGGCTTGACTCGTGCAACACTGGCACGGGGCCCACGGAGGCGGGGCGAGTCACTGACAGCTCCCAGGGCCAGCTTGCATTACGCGCAAACCATGAAGCTGATTCCCACGGCTGACGAGCACCGGCTCGGCGTGGTATAGACGACCAAAGGTTACTAACCTGGTCGTTGAAATCGCCCTCTGGGGCGCTGCCCCTGGGCAGCATCCTTGACACAAGGAAGGGGAGCACTGCTCAAGCCAACGGCTGTTGTCCAGGTGGCTTTCAAGAAAAGGCTACCAGCACACGAACACAAGTGCACTCACTCTGGAAAGCTCAATTCAAGCGACGCGCTGCGACCCGCACCCTCCCCATTCAGTCCTGAGGGAGGAGAGGAGGAAAAAAGAGAGCTGGGAAGAGTGAGGCTTAAAAGGCTGCGGAAAAAACGCACTGAAGATCGCAGGCTCAAATGGTGACACTGCACTTAGAGCAACCTCTGAGGACCTACCAGGTCTCGGGGCACTGCGCACAAACCTACTAGGCAAGAAGAGCCTACTAGGCAAAAGAAGATTCAGTCCTACAAGGTCTGTGTGCACACGCAACCTGCGGTGTTCTTTTTGCCAACCTCGCGATGCGAGTCTCTGGGCGGAGCCCGGTTGTCGAGGTGCGCTGCACCTGCCTTCTGCGATCCGCAGACAGGCCGGTGAGCAGCGAAGGCTCTTGTGGCCGGACTGTGCCGGCACTGCTGTGCTCTGCACCTGTGTGAAAAAGGGCGCAGACGGAAGGGCCACTGGCCCGTCAAAAAATTTATCCGAACACTGTTCGGAATGCGCTGGATTACGCCGCTGGCGTATCTACCATTCGCGATGGTTCCAGCGTCGGTCGTGGTCCCAGGACCAGCGACCACGGGACCACTGGTCCCGGTCCTCGTCGTCACGGCGGGACCTCTGGTCCTTGCCTTTGCCTTTGCCCTTGCCGTCTCTGCGGCGGGACTCCCGTTCGCGGTGCTCGCGCTCACGGGCCTCGGCTGCCTCGCGCTGCAAGGTCAGCCGAAGGGACTCGGGCGGCCCCCTAGTAGGGCGGCGCTCGCCACGGTACTCGAGCTTGCCGTCTGTCCGCGGGACAGTGCCTGGGCAAGAGTAATTTTTCGCGCAGCGTGTGCAATGCATCACGCCGCACTCTGGACACTGCCAGGCCTTGCTGCGACGCTCGTGGGAAAACTGTCCCACAGCGCCACTGGCGCTAGGCTGATCGTAGGCATGCACTGCAGCCACGAAGGGGTGGAGCTCTCCGCATGCACTGCATACGAATTCCGAAGACGGATCGCTCCAAATGTTCATCTGCATGTTGTCGCAGACTGAACATGCGAAGACTCGCTGAATCTCCCCCGCTCGGGGACGCTCCGCCGCTGGCGGGCGAGCTTCCTGATCGTCTCGATCAGCATTGTCATCTGACGCCGGGCCGCTGGCCCGGGTCCCAGCGACGCCAGCTGGGTTGTTGCGCGGGGGCTGCTGACAGGGACGCGGGCGAGAGCTCTCCCCACGACGCGCCACTGGCGGCGGGGGAGGCCGCTTGTTCTGGCGTGGGGCGGAGGCCTTCGGGGGCGCCGCTGGCGCCTGATCCCTGTCAGCTGCCGGCACTGCCGGGCTGGAGGACTTGCGCGCCACCTTGCCCTGAAGGGGAGGGTGCGGCTGCGCTGGCGGTGGCGGGGAGTCGCTCTCCGACTCCGACTCTTCCGAGCGGGAGCCTTGGTCATCTTCGGTTTCGTCCCGCCGCCCGCTGGGCTCCTCCACATCCATATCCTCCGGCGCTGCCGAGGGAGCTTCCGCTGGAAGCGGTTCTTCTTTGACGCCCGAGCCCGCTTCCTCAGCGGGGCTGGTCGGGGAGCGGCGCTGCGAGGCCGGCGCTGCGGCCGACGTGGGAGAAGAGTTTGCCACCGCGCTGCGGTGGTCGTCGGAAGACACACCACGGGCCGCCGCTGGCGGCTCGGTGTTCGCAGGAACCACTGGGGGCTCGTAGCCCAAAAGAAGACGCTGGAGGGCGACGGCATTGGCCTCTGAGCCGCCACTGGCGGGCTTGGTCCAGCCGGCGAGTTCCGCTGCCTCCGCCGCATTTACCACCACGTCCCCTATCTCTGATAGGGAGACGGCGGCTTCGTAGATGGCGGCCCTCTGGGCCTCCGGCACTGCACTGAGCGCCTGCAGCATCTGCTCGTTCGTTGGGTTCGCCATCGCTGATAGCATACAAAGGCTGTTAGCTGAAGGCACGAAAGGGGCGACTTACTAAGCTGAAAAGGCTGCGGAAGAAAAGCACTGCTTGAAAACCGACACGGTTCAAAGAGCTGACTCAGCTGGAGAGACCTACCAGGCTCGCGTGACACACGACTGAAAAGGGCGAGCGGCAAACTTTTGCCGCATTTCAAATCATGCCGTCGGCTCGCCGCTGTGGGCGAGGTTCCAAAAACCTCGGAGACGCCCGCCCTGCAGAGGCTGCCGAACTGTCGGCGGCGAAGCAAAAAGAGGTGCACTGCACCAAAGTGACTAGGGCGACTCACTGAGAAGCCAGCAGCTGCGCGCTGCGCTCAGAGACTAGCGGCGACCGCCACGGGCGCCGTGGTTCCGGGGTCGCTGACCCCGGCTGCTGCGGTAGCAGTTGTCGCATTCGTGATGATTGTGGGGGCTCCTGCCCACTGAGCAGTGCCGCCCACAAATTGCCATACCTTGGGAAATGCAGCCCTGCTGCGCGCAGGGCAGACAGCACATGAGGTCGCCTCGCCTCTCCGGGTACCTATCCCATCTCTCTGAGTTGGGTTGTGCCCAATAGGGCCATTCGTGCACGTCCGTGACGTGCAACTGTGGGGAAACCCTCCTGGCGTGCGTCACTAACGCACGGAGGCCAGGGTACCTGTTGTCGGTCGCTGACCCCAGGTTGCGCCAATCGTTATTTTGGGGGTCCTCCCCGGGCTGGAACTGCCAGCCCCGCTGGCGATTGCGACGCTGCGGTCGGGACACGACCACAGTGTTCGCGTTGGGCGCGAACGGCACTGCCGTTGCGGCCTGGCTGCTAGCCAGGGATACCTCGGAGTCTCCCGAGTTCTGATCACTGTCAGTATCGATAACTTCGATGGCAGGCTCCGCCTCTGGCGGAGCGACGTCGGCAGCTGCGGCTGCGGGCGGGCTGCCTGTTGTGGCGCAGCGGGCTTAGCAGGAGCGGCCGCTGGCGGCGGTAAGGGAGGGTCCGAGGCCGATGCCGACGCTGTCGGCAGAGCGGTACTGGACGAGGCGGTAGGGTCGGTGCTGCCGCTGGCAACTTTGTGAGACTTCTTCTTTTTCTTTTCCGAAGGGATTATCTTAATCCAACCGCCCTTGCCTTTGCCCTTACCCTCTGGGTGCCAATGGAAGCCGCTGGCTTCCACCTTGGTGGCCACGTGGCCCTCTAGGGCGTCCACCCAATTAAGTCTCCACTGGAGTTTGGGCACATTATCCTCCTCCCCACTGGGGGGCCAGTCAAAAAGGCCAGTATACGGCCAGCCAGGTGTGGCCGCTGGCCGCATAGGCACGTCGCGCTGCGACATGGTATACCGGTGCATCGGATAGGCACTGCCTGAGGTATCCGGTTGTTCCCCTTGCATCTGCGCGAAAGGGTAAAAGGGAGGCCAAACTTTGGACTCCCCTTCCCCTGCGCGGTTCAGAGATTCATGGTCGTCGCTGACGACCGCGGGATCTACCCGCATGGCACAGCTAATGGCCCAAAGGAGATAACTTATCTCCTGTTGTGCCATCTCCTCACGCATGGCCTGCTCTAGCACGAAAATTGGATTGCACTGCAAAAAACGGAGGCAGGAGCGACACTGTCGCACGCGTTGCAAACATTGTGGCGCTGCCAACTGATTCTCTCGACCGTCCCTTCTAGGGTACGGCGCCTCTGGCGACTCAGCCGCGTAATTGCGGGCTGCTTGGTCAACCATAACTGCCACTGACAGTTATAAAAAGGGGAGTGGAAGGACGTCGCTGACGACCCCCACTGCTGCGGAGCACTACAAGCTAATCTACAAAAACTTTTTTGGATCACAGATCCAACTCCAAGCCGAAAGCTGCACGGCAAAGTTTGTCTAGTGTCACTCACACACAAGTGAAAACACTGTTTTCCTTTTTCGACAAACTTTGTCTACACTTTCGGCGGAAAATAAAACCCATTCACGCACGCATGATGGATGCAAGATTTCGTTGGTTAAATCATCGGCCTCCTGATTTTCGTCCCGGGGACGCCATCCCAAGTTCAACCGCAAGCCGGCCTTCATGAGAACATGGGTGAGCTGCATGTTCACCATGAGCAAGGGCCAGCGCGTTGTAGAACCCTTGCGAGTTAAGCCCTCGTTAGACTTATTATCCGTCTGAGCTAAAACCTCCACCTTCATCAAACGCCTAGTTGGCCCGGCTTCAAGGTGACCGAAGATGTGCAACGCGGCCAGCGTGGCCAGCAGCTCAGCCGATGCCGAAGCCCACTGACTGTGACCTTCTGAGTCAAAGAGGTAAGGGGCCTCCGAACGTGTGAGTCGAAGTGAAAACCACCTGGACTCCTGAGTTGTGCCTGCGCAATCCCAACCCCCAAGGACCACGTACCCGTCCGCACACTTTGCGTCAGTGCGGAAGGCCACGCCTGCCCTCTTGACCGATCTTGCTGCGGCGACCTTGAATGTCATGTCCCTGAACGTGAGATCAAGATATTCAAGAGTAAGGATGACGGTATCGGGCATCCGAGCGACTGAGCTGTCGTTCACCGCTGCCCTCCAGCTGTAAAGCGGTGCAAGGTGTGCCTTAAGCCAAACCAAAAGCCGAGCAACGAAGCCCAGTCTCCCTAAGAACTCAGCAAACTTGCGAACCGACACAACAAACTTCGAGGACCGGGCCTCAGCGATCCATTTCAAGAGCCACTGGCCCCGCGATTCCGAAATTCCAACCCTCTGGTCTGGATAAGAAAGTTCGTAACCCACAAAAGCCGAAGTGAGCCCACCGCGGAACTTCTTGTATGCGAAAGGTGTGCCAAACATCTCGAAGCATGCTAGCCACATGAGCAAATGATGAAATTTTTCCCTTCCTGCGAAGTTGGCGTGAACATCATCTACAAAGACGAGGTGATAGAACCACAAGGTCAAAAGGAAGCGTGCGGTGCATCGGCCGATGATCCCGAACAATCTAGACCAAAGGAAGGCGGATGATGATATACCGAATGTTCCTACCTTGTTGTACCAAACGACCGGCGTGTCGTTGCGCACCTTACAGCACAACAGAGGCCAGTCGGCCTCTCTGACAAGGAACAACCTGTGAGCCGCCGTCACATCGCCGGTGATGCAAAAGGTGGCCTCCTGACTCTGCTTCGCGCTGCGCACAAGGTGAACTACTTCCTGGGGTCCGGGATTAGATTGCTGATTAAGTAGCCTAATACCATTGTTGACGTGCACACCGTGGGTGCCATCGTGTAACGGCCGAGCGGAGCCGTCTGGTTTAATCAAGGAACCTAAAGAAGCTATCCTAACCCTATCCCGCCCGTACTTTTGCTCAAGAACCGGCAAAGTGGATGGCGCCATGCGCCCAAGAGCCTCTTCCTCTGCAAACTTCTTCTCAAGCTGATCCGATGTTTCGTTTGCCGACGAATAATTCTCGCGATGCCACTCGGCATCCGATTCATCGAGCTTGCGGGACTTGTACTTGTACTCGTACACCTGTGGCAAGTGAGGCGCGGGGCAGTCATAACCGATCGCGACCCCGCTGACATAGGAGTCCCCCTGGCAAGAAACGGCTTTCCAATCTGGGTCCTGCAACAGCCGCGCTGTCGCAGACACAGCATGCAAGAAGAATGGCTGGCCACTCGGCACCACGTCAAGATCCGTGCACTTGCCTCCCGAAGCAGCCTCTATGCAACTAAACCACTCTTTCCTAAGGATCCCTAACATCTCTGGAGTGAAGGGTGATTCCTTAAGGCGGCCTAGCGCAAGCTCCATCGCCGTGCGCCTGACATCAGGCACAACGTCCGCTACAAAGTCTCGAAGCACTTGATGCATGGAAGTGGCGAACTCCAAAGCTTGCTTGGGCAACAGGCCCCCCCTGGCTTCCGGAGGCCATCTAGTGGGTGAGCAGAGCCCAAAGCCATCCGTGATCGGCTGAGTTTTGCCGTCCCACTCGAGGTTCAAAGGCAGTCCGATGTTGTGGCACTCCTGATGCTTGAAGGGCTCCGGTCTTTCGACTTCGCCCCCCTCCAGCACCTCCGAATCATCCGACTGGACCGCCTCAAGATCAACACTGTGCTCTTCGCCCGGAAGGACGAAACCATGCCCGCGAAGAAACGCGAGATCCTCGTCGCATGCCTGAGTATGCTCCGACACACTGAAAGCTATGATGACTAATCTCTTACCTTTCCAGGGCATTGTGAGGTGAAGATCGCGATAAGCATGTATGTAAGTGGGTGTCTCACTGATCGGAAGGAGGTGACCATTTAAGCGCCTACCGTCAACTATCTGAACAGATTCCCCACCCTGGGCCTCGACCCAGATCTCTCCTCCTACGAAGTCAGTAACCCCTATTATCCCATTGGGCAAAGGTGCGTTCCTGGAGTCTTTGTGGGGCTTAGTGCCAGTGTTAAGGTAAAGGCTAATCGTGGTAAAGGGGTGCCCGGGCATGTTGCTACGCACGAATGATGCCAATGCTTCAGTGGAAGCCGGGAAGCCTTTGCACGCGGACCTGAGCCCGATCAGGCCTCCACCCTTCCGGTACAAACCTGTCGAAAAGCTGCTAGGAACCCAATTGGAGGACACCGCCGACCTAGGCGGAGTCTCCTGCGGCAGCAGTTTGAAGAGTGCGTGAACCTCGGCCCGCGTCGGGGCCCTCGACGAAGAAATGATGCGTGCAAACTCCTCGGCTTCAACCTGTTTCTTAACCCCCCTAGGTGATGCCTTCGGATGCGGTTGCCCCGAAGAGTCTGGCGACGGCAACAAAGTGGAAGGAGGTGCTTCCGACTCGATCAAGCCAACCGCCTCTACCCTATCTGTAACCGCCTCTACCCTATCGGAAACCACCTGATGCAGACCCTGAGGCACTTCACATAAATCCTGATGCACCTCCTGCGTCTCCTCGTGGGATTCCTGCTGCACCTCCGGCCAAACCTGAGGTGCCTCACAAAACTCCTCCTGCATTGGACCTGCCTCACCTGGAACGAAGCTGTGCGACGCTGACCCAAGTCCCCCATGCTTCAGTGGAAGCCGGGAAGCCTTTGCACGCGGACCTGAGCCCGATCAGGCCTCCACCCTTCCGGTACAAACCTGTCGAAAAGCTGCTAGGAACCCAATTGGAGGACACCGCCGACCTAGGCGGAGTCTCCTGCGGCAGCAGTTTGAAGAGTGCGTGAACCTCGGCCCGCGTCGGGGCCCTCGACGAAGAAATGATGCGTGCAAACTCCTCGGCTTCAACCTGTTTCTTAACCCCCCTAGGTGATGCCTTCGGATGCGGTTGCCCCGAAGAGTCTGGCGACGGCAACAAAGTGGAAGGAGGTGCTTCCGACTCGATCAAGCCAACCGCCTCTACCCTATCTGTAACCGCCTCTACCCTATCGGAAACCACCTGATGCAGACCCTGAGGCACTTCACATAAATCCTGATGCACCTCCTGCGTCTCCTCGTGGGATTCCTGCTGCACCTCCGGCCAAACCTGAGGTGCCTCACAAAACTCCTCCTGCATTGGACCTGCCTCACCTGGAACGAAGCTGTGCGACGCTGACCCAAGTCCCCCATGCGTAGCGGAAGCAAGCACAGCATGCGCAAGCCACTCACACAACAGAGGAGGATAGGCTGCCGATGACTCTGTTGCCCAACGGATGCCTTCTCGGCCTGCAAGTACCTTGTCGTGTTTGCCGTGCGGGCAACGTGGTGGCAACGGCCCCACGTAGCGATCGCTGGAGTCGAAGCGTGGCCATGAAGCAAAAGGCGGAGGCTGCTCGACAAAGGCCGTGAGATTAGTGAGAAGGCGGGTAGGTTTAGAAGTGGGAGCCTCAAAGCTACACTGAAAGAATGCAAAAGTGATGGCCTGAGTGGAAACCTGGAGCTCACGCAGAGCTGGTAGTTGCCAAATGGAAGCCGGTAACTCGTGATCTGGAGTCGCACCGAGATCCTCCGGGTGCTCCAGGACATACTGCCATGCAAGTTGACATGCCGTCACGGTCTGATCAAGAAAATTTGTACCCTGGAGGCGTAGTTAAACATTCCCAAAAGCCCGAAGGGCTAAAAGTTCAAAGGTTCAAGAGTTTGGAGGATCGCACAGCCCATACCAGTCATGCATATGAAACTTTTGGGAGACGATGCCGAAAGCATCAATCCCCCTGTATGTATGGGCTGTTTTGAACAGTCCTGAAAACGAGAACTAAAAGGGCGGGTAGGGTGGGTAACTAAAATTTCTAAGATCCCCTCCCGATTGGTCCGCAATGTGTCGGATGCAAAGATCAGATTCCGCAAAAGCTCTCCAGAGATTGTTCGAAAAGTCAAAGGCAAAACTGAAAAGGTTTCGTGGCCAAAGAAAAAGGCCAACTGAAAATGCACTCAAACCGACATGCCTAAAAGAGACTGAAAAACATGCAAGCACTGACATGTCTGACATGACTGAACATAAGTGTAACTGACAGAACTGAAGACTGCATGACAACATGGCTGTGGTCCGAAGCCGCAGTGGCCGGGCGTACAACTGAAAGAGCCGCCGCGCCCCTGCCATCCCCCCCACCCCCCCAGGCCTCCAGGGAACAATTCGTTTGGTTCGTTTCACTGCCCAAACAGGGCAATTAGCCTGCTCTACCTGCTGTGCGTGCAAATTGCTTAACCATGGAAAACCTCTAGGATAAAATGCTGAACGTAGTGGCTTTGGCCCGGGGTGGCGATGCCGGACTCTGGAAAATGTCTCACAAGGAGGAGAGGCAATGAGGATCCAATCCCCTTCGCCAAGCAACTGAAAGATGTGCTGCCACAAACCTTCCTTAGTCAAGTCACGCTCTGTGGAGCGCTGAAGATCGAACTGAAGAAGGTCAGTGACATTGCCCAAAGACTGAAGGTAAGAGCCCACATCACCTTTGCGATGGGGCCCCGCGAAAATGTAGAGCACACGAAGCCCGCTCGGACTGTACAGCTGAGGCTGATAGGCCTGATAGGCGATGTGATCTGATGTCTCAATGGTAGAAACCGAATCATGCGATAGTCACTCCTTGGGCTTGCTGGTCTTAAGCTTGTGCTCGGTCGCTGCGTGGGGCTGATAACAGCCCTTGACTCTGCATACGCGCAAACGCTCGCACGATGGATTGGTGCAGCCCTGGGAGTTAAAGGCAAAGCAAATGTCGCGTCCCTCCGGCGTGCGCCAAACCAACTGAAGGCCCTTGAGTGCCGGGTCCGAGGCGCTTTTGCCGTTCTTGCCCCCCTTGGAGTCTTTGCCCTTGCCTCCCTTTCCCGTCTTGCCTCCGTCCTTGCCATCCTTGCTCTTGCCCTTGCCTTTGTGCCACTTGCGTGGCCGCTCAATGATGGACAATGCGAGCGGAGTCGTGAAGTAGGTCTCCTTAAGCTCCGCTGAAGAAATGACTGAAGCCAAAGCGCCTGCCAGGGTATAACCCTGATCATTGACCAGACGGAAGGCCTCCTTGCGCAACCGGTGCTCATAGGCCAAGACTACTTCCCAAGGGGGCGAAAGGGAAGGCACATCGGCTGGTTGATGAGAAGTAGGCACTGAGAGCTGGGCGACCTTTTCGCCAAGGATGTAGTTCACGAAGTGGTCGAAGTCGGACAGCTTGAGATCCTGAAGCCACTGCTTGGATTTGAAGCGGGATGCCATGCATAGCCATGTGAAAGCTTCCACGCGAAGGACCTTGCGATAAGCTTCAGTAGTGGTCGGAAGCTCACTCTTGGATTTGTGCTGAGTAATATGAATACGCCCTGAAGCGTCAAGGCTGGACTGGATGCTCGTGGTAAGCGTGTTCTTCTTAGAAGTTATGGCATCCAAGGTTGAAGCCTGAGGCTCATTGGCTTCGCACTCCTCGCACTTGAGAGCGAGGTACTCAGACGATGGAGTCTCTGACTCTCCCAGCTGCCCGTGAACGGCCGCTACCGCCTTGAGCATTGCCTGCCTCTCTGTGACTTGCAAGATTCGCGGCTGGCCTAACACTTTTGCCTCTGCTCGCGTTTCCGTCTCTTTGCTGATTACGTCTCGCGCGAGTTCCCATGCAGCGACGACCCCCGCGATTTGTTGTCGCCCTTCTGCAGCCCCGTCATCCAATCCGAAGTCCGCCTTCCCAGCAGCCCGAGCTTCCGGCCGGGAATCGGCGATTGCCTGGAATCGCCTAAGTGTTGTATGTCGTTGCACAATGCGATACTGGGCATCCAGAGACAAGCCAGCTTCTCCGAGCACAAACTGCAAGTCGCTATCTGCTTTGGTTATGAGCTCGCGCTTCTCGGCATCTGTGGCGGCCATTGCGACAACAGTAACTAACTCCAGCTACTCCTGATGCGAAGGCCGCGCTCCCGCCTGTGGCCCTGTAGGACTTTGATTGCTAGCCGCCCTGAGGCCTTTAGCTGCACTGCAATGTGTCCACCCGTCGCCCTGAGGCCTGTGACAGGATGCGGAATCCGTCGGCACCTCACGGCCTGCGCCGAGTGAGACTTCCTCCTGCTTGAACAGCGCCAGCACGTGCACTTAATCAGCATGAACTGTAATCGCGGAACAACTTCAAGGCGCCCTGCGAAATATCAGCATGGACTGTTATCGTGGATCTACTTCAAGGCGCCCCTGCATACGCAACTCATGCCCACTTCTGGCTAGGACTTGCAGGGCACAGCCTATACACAGCAGTCGGAAGCATCTTTTGCCTTCACATCGACTCGCTCCCACTGTCACTGCTGGAGGGGTCTGATTCCTCCTCTCCGGCCTGAGCCTTCATTCTTGCTTTGCAATCTTTGCAAATGCTATCGACGTCCTCCGCGCCGACATGATTGACAAATTTTACATCGTAACAGTTCTCAGGCTTGACATAGCAACCCAACATGTGCAAACGCCTCAGGCCTGTGGTGCGAGAGGTAACGATGAAGTAATCCCCCCGGCTGCCTGGCATCGAGACCTGCTCGACTGGAGAAGGTGGTGCCGCAACATCCACTTCCAATGCCAGAGTTGGCCACGATCCGCCCAACCCTTTGGATCCCTCGAGGAGGGTGTGACGGCGGCGAACCTGAGATTCGCTCTCTCCAGCCTTAGCCGCATAGTCCGTCAAAGCCTTGATGGAATCCAACTCGATGTAGTGCTTAGGCTGCCCGGTGACAAGTGAACATGCAATGTGGCTCTGGAGACGATGCACAACCTGTCTAGAAGTGCGAATGTATGTTGCAGAACCTTCGCCACCTACCTTCCAGCGACCCAGATAATCAAGCTCCCTGGGGTCAACATCGATGGCCGCTCCGACCGAGCTAAGGAAGTTCCTCGCAGAGTGACCCGTAAAATGACTGGAAGTGTATCCTGGGAGCAGCGGACGCTGATCATTGGCCTTCCAGGTGCGCCCCACACGCTTGGGCGTCTTCAATTCACTGAGAACTTTGCGGAAGTAAAGGGCCACCGTGGATGAAGGCACCGACTTCTCAAGGGGTTCCGTGAAACCTTCATTGGCCTTCAAAACCAAATAATCCCTTTCAAAATCGAAATCCCTCCAAAGTGCATATCCGACCTTCAGCCAATCATGCCCTGTCAGAGAGATACTCCGTTCCACGAAGACCTTGACGGTGTGGGTCCTTTTGTCGGGCCCTGTAGTCTTGGACCGCGCGAGATCAATGCTAAGCCCTGGCTCGTCCAGAAGCATGGTCTGCGGCAGGAGCCCCTGAACATCATCGGCCCGAAGTGAGCCCCAAACCATCAATAAGCATACAAAGCCCAATGCCCTCAAGTAACTCGGCTCCCCGGGCGTGCAGACGAAGATCTCGCATGCGAGAACGATAGCAACGGTGAGCATGCTGGCTGGCTGCTCCGGCGGTGCCGCCGAAATCAGATCAGCTGTGTAACTTTTGAGCTGCGCCTGCCATGTGGGATCCTGAGATATCTGCTGCGTAGACGGCACGCGCCCTACACCTTCAATTACACTGAGAGATGCTTGCAGGCTTTCGAGAACTGTCTTTCCACATCCTTCCTGGAAACGTTCATTGGCATAGTCTAGCACGTCAGCTACCCCTTCCGGATAGCTTCTGCCACGGCTATAAAGCAACCATTCCCGAAACTTATCCCAAGCCCTAAAGCGATTCCTCAATGTCTTGGAGCGACGGGTCCCAAACAACCGTGGCCAAGCCTCCTCGGCATTGCTGACCCCTGCAAGCACCTTGCACACCGGCAGCTGCGCCTCTTGCATGATGGCTGCAAGACGCAATGCATACTCCTGCCGAAGTCGTATCTCTTCAGTGGCCCTGGCCCCGCGATCTACGACCCTATCAGTAGCTAACTTTCGCTTGCGAAGAACCGGAAGCAATGCAAGAGGACTCTGAAGTGCAATCTGATTGTAATGCTCATGCAGGCTAAGGCCAGTTCCCGGGACACCGGGCAAGCACTCTGTCAAGCGCCTCCTTGCTTCCCTGCGCCCACTGGCTACCAATCCGGAAACATCAGTATGCCATTCAAGAAGAGCATCTGCAATCAAGGCAACACTGCTTTCCGACAAAGTTTTATCACAATTCCTAAGCAACTCCACGAGCTCTTCTTTAGTGTCGAAGGATGCATGCAGCTTCTCTGGCGTGCCAAACCACTCTTCGAGCCGACCGCGGTAAGGCTGCACGAGTGCGGGCCAGCTGAGACCTGCACCACTCATGGCCGTCCCGAGCCGCAAGGCTGCCCTGTTACCGCGATCTAAGACCTGAAGTTTGGAGCTGCTAAGCATGTCCACTGTCCAGTCATGCGTCACAACGATGCTTGTGAAATCTAATCCCTATACAAATCAAAATTTTCTCTGCTCCTGAGCCTGAGCTCTGCGTCCGTGATAAGCAATGAGACTGTGCGCGCACTCAGCTTCTGACCTAATTCTGAAAAGCGCACGAAACGTAAAATGAAATCGAAACTCAAAACTGTAAAATAAAACTTTTCTCTTCGAAACTGCGGAGATCTTCGAGGTGGTCTATTCAAAGGAACTCCTCCTACCCACAGAGACACCCCGCCCCGCCCACCCAAAACGTTTACTCTAAACAGTGCCGCCGGGCAAGCCCGGCTGGGCAGGACGGGGTGCCACTGGAATCGAGAGAAGAACCGCCCTCCTCAATCCCCGCACAAGGGAGGGCGCAGAGAACACGTGATTTAGCAGGCAAGAGAGGATAATGCGGCTGGCACTGAACGCCTGCGCAAGGCAACCAAGGCTGCTGTAACACGGGCCCGGAAGGAAGCAACTGCGCTGGACCCTGCAAGACGCAAATGGCTTTGTGTTCTGGCAGAAGAGGAGGTACCCGTTTGCCGCGCGGTTGAGTGCCAGAAGCCACCCTAGCTTGTAGATGAACATCAGAAAGACCCGGCAAGGCTTGCGCAGGTGGCGGAGAACCAGCCTCGCCAAGAGCATGCTGCAAAGCCTGCGCATAAGCTCTACAGAAGGGAGCAGGGTATGTTGTGACCGACTCCCTCGGCGCAGAATGCGCCGGGTGCGACGAAGTATGATCACATGGGAGTTGCAAGGCCTGAAAGGCAGCGTGGAAGTGTGCAATGCAAAGCTGACGTTTGAAAGTAGCCCCGAACATGCAAGTGTGAAAAGACGAAAACTGCAGTGTGACAATCGACGAAGATGCATCCAGCCAAGCACTGCTTTGCCAGAAATGGCTGGAGGCTGGGTTTTCCAGAGTGGCAACAATGCCTGTCTGGAAAGCCTGAAGGAAAAGGGTCGACGCCAATGCAAAGAAACGATTGTACAGCTCAACTTTAGCTTGATTGGGTGGGGAAAGGTCAGGCAGGCCGTCCGGAAACGCCTGTGAGCGAAGCGGCGGACTGCCACGACCTGGGAGGGCTGCAGGCGGCGCCAAATGCACCGCAGCCAAGGCCCGATTGGAAAGCAGCAAAAAGAGCACTCTGACATCCTCATCAAGCGCGAGGTCCAATTTGACCACGGGCGCTGGAGCTGACTTGGGTGTCCACGCATCGATGCCGAAGACACTGCCCACGCCACACGCATGGACAACACCTGACAGGCGAGCTGAACCCGCGAAAACTTCCACAAAAAGCAAAGACTGAAGTGGCCTGCCGCGAACACGCTCTTGCAGGGCCTGGAAGAAGGACTCGGCTGAGTCGACAACGCGTGCCTGCGGCAGGCCTGGCTCTCAGGCTTTGGTGGGATGCTTGTGCTTGCCCTTGCCCTTGCCTTTCGGAATGGGCTGGGGCGGCGTAGGCGGCAGAGCATTGTGCGCATGCGGAGCAGGAGGCTTGGGCGGGAAGGGATGAGATGCGGGTGCAGACGCGAGTGCCAGGGCTTCCTGCAGACGCTGCTTTTGGCGTTCACGGCGCGCCTTGGTGCGGCTCTTTTTGGTCGGGTTGGGTGGGTCGGTGCTACCATTGGGCGTCGCCAGGGCCATGACCTGTGAAGCAGAAGGGCGCTTGCTCTGGCCACCCGCAGGCAGCGGCATCAGGAACATCATGACATCGGTAGCCGTGGTGAGGGCTGCAAAGAGATCATCCATGGGCAAGCTCCCATCTGCACGCTTTTTTAAGGAAGTGCCTTTTTCGGCCATGTACGTCCATGCCGCCCTGTCAGCCCTTAAAATTTGCATGGTATCCACCTGCTTGTACTCCATGGGAGGTGCCTGCTGCAAATGCCTCAGAAGCTCGGCGTGCCACCGTTCGGAGGCTGCAAACGTTGCGGCTTCACACAAGTCAAGCGCGAGAGACCTTCGGGTCAAAGCCTGACTTAAGCTGAGTGCATCAGGGAGATGACACGTGTCGGCAAGCTCAGCAGAGTCACGCACCTTGATGGCAGACGATGCATCGATGATGACTTCTTTGGGAGGTTTGGATTGCTGAACCTCATGAGCCCGAGTGGTGAACCGATTAGGGGCGAGGTAAGTAATTTCATCAGTAGCCAGCATGCGAATGACAAGTGTGTAGCAGCTGAAAGAGCATTCCAACGGCCCGCGGAGCGACATACCGGCCAGGCGGCGTGCTTGCTCTTCCAGTCGGAACCTCCTTTCGGCGGGCTGAAGGTCTTGTCGCTTCTCGTCCGGCCCCTCGATCTGCTGACGCAGCTGGCTTACTGCAAGTGTCTGTGCCTCAAAGATTAGGCGCCTAGCAATTGCAACCTGACCCTGCTCAACAGTAGCAGGCGACTCTGGATTCAGAAAGGCTCGCAGGGCATCTTCGGCGGGTACAACACCCGGGGCCCCCACAGCATATGCAGCCTTGCTAAGAGTGTCGACTCCACGTCTTACAATGGCCTCGAAGACAGTATTGGTCAAGCCATACTCCAACACCTTGTTTTTGAAGGCAGCTTTCGAATCCAAGAGTGAGGCACCGGACATGCTGGAGCCTTAGGCGTCTACGTCTGGCCCATGCACTGAGCTACACTTGAGATGAGCAAGCCGAGCGTTTGGATAGCTGAGCCATGCACGACAACACATAAGCCCTCATGAGTGCTCCAGTTTTTTTTCCTGTAACCACTTCTCGAGCGAATGCGGACCCCGGCGTGCCCGAGGCTGGGTGCTGCTGGCTCTCACCACAGGGAGCGCACAGCGTCACCGAAAATGTAAGACAGCACACTCTAACCCAAGCAAGTTCCAGCTCCTGTAACCACTGCTCGAGCGAATGTAGCAACCCCCGGCATTGCCGAGGTTGAGATGCTGCTGGCTCTCACCACAGGGAGCGCACAGCTGCACCGAAAATGTTGGGAAGAGCGGTGACATCTGGGTCCTCATGGAGCACACGCCGAGCGGTTCTCACACGGGTCCACACGAGTCACTCACCGGCACACTCTAACCAGTGCGCCGCCTCTTGTCAAGAACATGCACAAGCTGTGCCGTGCTTCTGATGGTTTTACCACCATCGCACTGCACACACTTCAGAGAATCGACAATCGGATGCCCAGTGGCTCGGAAGTAGGCTTGCGACTTGACCCTCCCACACACGAAGGATCCTGACTCTGCATCGGCCTCCGGGAGCAGATGCACGGTTCTGCTTTGCCTGTGCTGCCAAACCTGGCAAGCGTCTCGCCAAACTGGCCGTTCAAGAGCGGCAAGGTGTGGGCCAGGTTCCGACTCCACCTCCGTGTCCGTCGATGAAGAACTCGTCGAACTGGAGGACGACTCGTCGAGTGCGACATCCTGATCAGGATTGCTTCCATGGAAGCTCGGGCTCGGGGCCGGGTGCTCAATGGCATCAGGCTCGAAGCCCTCAGAGGCATTGGCATCATTGTCTAAGTCGCTTTGGTCGGCCGGTGCCCCGAAAGAGAGCTCAGCCGGGTCAAAGCTCTTGTTCGCTTCAACATCACTGGAGCCAATGCCACCCTGCGGCTCGGTTGCTCCCTCACAAGACGGTGACTTGTCAGGCATTTCAGGGAAATAACCACTTCGAGAAACGTCTGGCAAGAAGGATCCGGTGCGAATCGCCAAAATGCACGCCTCCAGATCTCTCAACGGTGCGGCAAGTGTGTCTCTCCCGTAACACTCTGCAGATCCACGATCATTGTGATTGCCCAAGCGAGTCCTCGTATCTTTGGAGATGCCGTACTTGGCCGCCCATGATAAGCAAGTTGCCTTACACGAGTGAGCGCCTAGCGACGGAGCCTCGACATGCCCAGCATTCTGAAGAATCTGAACCAGCCAAGCCCTCGCTTCAGTCGTCGAGCAACTCGACTCGAGCCACCCGCCTTGGCTCGGGAGTGGCAACAATGGTCCTTTGGCACCTCCTTGAAACCGTTCAAGAGGGAGACCCACCTCAGTGGCGATGGACCGCCACGACTCGACCCAACTTCCTATGGTGGCACCCTGAACCGGGGCAACCAAAGGGATTGAAGGAAAATGGCGCCGCATCTTGTGCGACCAAGAGATGACCTCGATGTACCCGACAAGCTCGCCACTCTTCGTGACGATGTCAAAGACTGCATCACTGATGATTTTGCAATCGCCGAACCTCGCTCTCGAAAAGATTAAGAACAAGAAGCACCCTGCCGCGTAGAGGTCTTGCAATGCTCCCACTCTGCGTTTGACGAAAGCCTCGAGTGTTGCAACCTCTCCGACCGTGAGCGGCCGAGCCTTGGCAGTGGGCTTGGCATTCGCCGCGGCCATCCGTAGCACCCCGCGAATCCAAGGTGAATCGCCTGCATTCTCAGCAACGGGTAGGCCAACAACATGTCTGAGGAACCCCACCATCTCTAGCACGCCTTTGATGCGAGAGGCAGGTGCCTTCTCTTCCACCAGCTTCTTCAAATACGTTCGGCATGCATGCTCAGTCATAGGAAATGGCGTAACACTCGCAAGGAGGGCCCATGCCAGGAGTGCTTTCACTTGCCTCAGCCGCTTTTGCAGTGTCGACAAGGCCTTGCCGCCAAGGGTTTGCGTGACAACTGCAAGCTTCTCAGTTTGGTCGGCTGCAGCAGACACCATGAGGCCGAGCACTGTTCCATCGCCAGCCCATGGAAGGATCACTTGAAGCCACTCCTGGTACACGAGATTGAACCGATCTCGCTCAGGGAGGCGATCTCGTCTGAATGTATCCTTGTTCCATGCAGCAGTGAAAGCTTTCTTATCACCTGGGACAGTTTCCGACGGTTCAGGCCCCAAAGGCCGGACAGATGCAGTGTCAATGACATCTTCGATGTCTAGCGCGGGCCTAGGCAGCACTTCCGGTTTCCCAAAAATGGCTGCCAGCGGTCCTGTCTCCCAAGGCAAAGTAAGGGCAGCGATACTCGGCGCCGTCGTCAGGGCCTCGACAGACATTCGGCGAAGCCTGTCCCTGGCACCTTGATCAAAGTCACCACCCCCAGCCATCACACCGAGTTCAAAGACTCTTAATGCAGCTTGAACCTGAAAACTTAATGCAAGCAGTCAAGCATGAGGAGTGAGCCTGCAGATTCCCCTAGCAAAACAGGCGACACTTTGTAGCGTGCCAGCAACAGCTCACATGAAGAGCCCAGGCTCGGAAAATCACAGTGACCTACGCCAAGCAGATCACTGATTGCTGCACGGCTCCAGCCCGCCTCGAAGATGCAAGACAAAACTCGGAGCGAGGCCGCAGCAGTTCAGGGCACAAGTTAGGGGTCCGCCGGAAAGCTGGGCATCGGCTGTGGCACAGGGTTAGGGCAGGAATTAGGGAACCAAAAAGGGGCACCTCAGTCGCAGCCAGGGGCAGGGCGCAACGGTGGAACCTGCAGATATTGCATGATGTGCTGCAGGAGTGCGTCAACACGACGCAACTGCCGCTCGACCTCGTCAATCCTGTGGCTTGCCACCATCTGTTGCTCCGCGGCAACGCGGCGCAACGCAGCAACTTCCAATGCAAAATCGCTAAGCTGACTCTGTTGCCGTTGCAAAAGATTCTACAAGTACTGAACATGTTCCCCTGGCAAAAGGTGAGGTTGGGTGAGAGGCACTGCAGGTAAGAAAAGGTGAGGTTGGGTGAGAGGCACTGCAGGTAAGAAGCTCACACGGGGCCGCACAGTAAGATGCCCAAAGCTGAGCAGGGACAGCATGAAACCTCTGCGAAACCCTGGGCCTGCGGCGAGAATCCGAGCGACTCCTGGAGGCAAGCCTAGCACGGCGGCTTGCACGCTCAGCTGAGACCTCATATGTATCCGCAGCACTAGCAGTGAAATCTTCAATTGGATCGTCCGCCAATTCAGGGCGCTCAAGGCCTGTTAGGCGCGACCAAGGATCGGCAGAAGCTCGTCGCATGTTATCAAGCAAATCCGAAAACATGAAAGCTGGGTGAAAGCCCCTCAAAGCAACTGCTGCTGTCGCGAAAAACAGCACGCAAAGATGTCCCACCACGTGGAACAGCCCGGAGGAGCAGCCTGACGAAGGTCAGCCAGATCAGCTTCTAATTGACGGATTCGACGCTCGCAAGCACCGACGTGAGCACTAAGCGTCCGCAACTGCAAGTCCAGCTGATGCACGTGCCGGCTAACTAAAGAGACAGTAGAGGGTGACTGGCTAGCGGAGCGATCAGAGGAGTCAAGGTCGACTCCCCAAATCGTTTGGCCTTGCATACAACAGGCCTAGGAGCACACCAGCCAGAGCGAGAACTGTTCCCCGTGGGTACTAAGAACGTCACAGCTGGCACCCGCTACAGGCAAAATTTTGCCGGCACTCCCTCCTTGAGAGTGCAGTTGCTGCACGTTCGAGCAGTTCACAAAATTTTGCAACCAACAGGAAATAAAAACATGTGTAGAAGACCGTGAGACAACAATGCCAGGACAAAGTGAGAAAATCTGTCTGCGCGCCCGACATGAGAAATGTACGTGCACGCGTGAAATGATGTGGCGAAATAAGGTGTTCGCCAGGCAAGCTGGAGATAGCACTTGCTGTGCTTGTTGTTGCTGACTCGACTGAGGGAAATGTCACAAGCATGTCGGACTCTCGCAGACTGCCAGAATCTCGCCGAGCATGTGATCTCCCAGACTGGAAATGAAGACGAAAGAAAGCGAAAGGAGCTGCAACGAATGCGCCGTCCAAAGCTCATGAGCCTGATCGCTTCTCATCTCCTTCCGGAAGATGAGGATTTCATACGCAAAATTGAGGCTATGTATTCGACAGCCAAAGATTCAACAGAGGATGAGGATGAGGATGATATTATCATGGGGGACTTTGTTGATGAGCTGGTTCTTGACGACCTGCTTACTGAGGACAAATAGGAATTTAAAATGGTCTCAGACGCAGTCAGAAAACGCAGAATCAAAAGGGTGCAACAAACCTGGCAGGCCATCAAGACGCAGCAAGCAAAGGCCAAGGCAAAGGGCAAGGCCAAAGCAAAGACCAAAGCAAAGGTCAAGCCACAGGCCAAACGGAAAACCAAGAGAAAGATTTGTCGCCCACGTATGTTGCCCAGGAAGCAACCCGCGGCTCCTGATGAAAGTGGTCAAGAGGCAACAGAAGAGCCTGCTGCAATCCCTGTTCCAGCACCCAGAGAGGAGCCTGATAATCACGTGGAGGCCGAGGAAGGCAGAGTGCCAACCCCTCCTGCTGAGATGCCGGAGGTGCCTGCTGCAATCCCTATCCCAGAGCCTGATGATCACGTGGAGCCCGAGGAAGGCAGAGTGCCAGCCCCTCCTGCTGAGATGCCGGAGGTGCCTGCAGTGCCTATCCCAGCACTCGAGCCACGGGTGTATGTACCCCGTGGCCCCCAACATCAGCGGCAGCCGAACCGTGTTGACTACCAAGGGGTATGGACACCTGTTCAATGCCCGGAGTGTCCCAAGATCGCTGGTGAGATGAAGTACGACCCGAATCCTGGTGGCACTGAGAGAGAGCAATTTGGTTTCTCCGAGTTCGTGTGACAGACGGCGGTCTCTTGGAAAGATTCGGAACATTTGTTATAGCTTCGATGTGGTTGCCTGATCTGCTGTGTGTTGTGTCATATTACATGAACCAATGTGTGTCTGGCGTTGAAGGCGTGTGGAACCACCTCATATACCCTATCACTGGAAACGCAGGGCTTCCACGATGACAGAAGCGCAGGCCAGACAAGACGTCATTGACCATAGGCCCTGTTGTGGCCCGAGCAGGAGGCCTGGCAACAACTAGAGGATTCATCCTGTGCTGCAAAGAAAAGTTGTGTGTCTGTCTGTGTGCTTGCATTGATGGCAGCGGGTCCTGCTAGATTGGAGTGTGTCCGAGAGACTGTGTGTTTTCTGCTTGGGGAAGACGGATTGCGAAAATATGTTTGCATTTTCACACATGTGGAATTTGTCACGTGCAAGCACATGGACAACCATTTCGAGTGCCGCAACCCGGAAGCCGCGCAAACTGGCACATGTGGTTTGAAGCCGTGCGTGCTTGTGACTGAACAGTAGCCGTCCAGAGCAATGCAATTCGCCCCGATCGAACGAGGAGAGTGTTTCTTCAGAGGCGAGCTCTCCCCAATCTTGATCAAAACCGTTTGCGAAAAATTGGACAAAAAGCCTGCCCAGTGGAAATCAGCTGAGAGATGGAAGGAAGTTTATGACGTGCCTTGGGAAATCATGGTTCGCTACCTGCGTTACTGGCCACTTATTGGCTTCCGCATTACAGGAGGCTTCAGGCTTCTTCGACAGTACGAAGGCCCCTTCCCGCAGTATTATCAGGTGGATGAGGGAGAAGAACCGCTGGAATTGCCGCTCGTTTCTCTCGTTTATGATTTTATTTATGTTTGGAATACGAAGATGAACAACAACGGCAGTTTGTCCTTCAGATGAAAAACCTCTCACTGGTTGCCATCCGTCTCGGTAGTCCGGGGGAACTTCTTGACCTTGATGCTGGAGCAATACCTTTGATCGACCAGCTTCGTGCAAAGTTGGGGATGAATTCCAAATTGGGTCCAAAAGGAAGCCCCTGGGTTTCTGGCTAAGTAATCTTGAGGCGGGAAGGCAGAGTGCCAGCAGCTGGGAAGGCAGAGTGCCAGACGTTATCGCGTCACCCAGCTGTACCCTGCTTCGCCTGCACGTGATTCGCTTGACAGTGTGGTCAATGCAGAAAAGCGCAACATCCAGCAGTTCGTAGGCACTTCACGTGATTTGTGCATCCCTAAACCCAAGAACCACACCACCCTGAAACTCTAACCCTAACCCTTTCATTACCCTCAAGCAGATTTAGAACGGAGCGGAGCGAAGTTCTTAATGTTTTATACCCGGACGATGCTTTTTGGCATTGGCCAAAAACTTGATTTCGCAATCCCGTTTTTCAATCACTTGGTTTGAACCATTCTTTTGCAAGTTCCTTTGCATGATGTCTCTTATGCTCTTGGCATAACGAATGTTGTGACTTGCAATTCTTGATCAAGGGTGGGAGGGAGCGCCTCCTTGAATGGGCAAATTTTGCATGGCCTGGGGGTGCTACTTTGAACAGGTTCTAACGGGCCCTTGGAACGAAACTTTGACATTTTCTCTTAGAGGGCCCGGTCCATGGATGCTGACCTTTCTGGTCACCTGAGAAGGAAGAGGGACAGCAGTGCTTTGGATGATCACTTGATTTATGCTGTCCGTGTTTCCACCACTACATCTGAGAAGCAGCCCTGGGAGAGGGGCGATATCCTGGCGCCTCGATCAGCTTTCTCGTCTCCCTTCCCGAGTGTCGGCAGGCCTCAGGTAGCTGCGCAAGTGCTGCCTGCCCCAAGTTCGTCTCCTGCAGGAGCTGTTGCAACTTCTGTGGCTGTTAAAGTATTGGGCAAGCTGCCGGCTACGAAGGGGCCTAGTTGGGAGGAGAAATTGACTGATAACAGGCGGGCTGCAGTGGCAAAATGGGAGGCTCTTCTTATGGCTCACGGCGAGCACTTTGATTGCTACAGGGGAGTCAGTGGCGACGCCAGTGCGGGACGCAAGGCAGATCTGGTTCAGACGCTGAAGGACTGCTTTGCGGGCAAGGCGAGCGCTACTCTGCACTCGAGAGTGGGACCGATGATGCGTTATATAAAGTTTACCAAATCTGCTGGTCTTGATGCTTTTCCTTTGACTGAGAGCGTCTTATATGTATTCATGGATCAGTATTGTCGGACGGCGGCGGCAACCTTTGGAAGGAGCTTCCTTGAGTCACTGAATTTCGCTGTCATGTCTTGGGCCTCGATCTGCATGTGACCATCAGTGGCAGGATACAAGGGGTAGCCAAAACCAGGTACCTTGAAAAAAGGAAAGCTGTCCAGAAGCCGGCGCTTACAGCGCTGCATGTGAGGACTCTTGAGAAGATAGTGATTGGAGGAACTATTGAAGAATACAGCGGCTTCGACAGACATTGTGCTGGATTTTTCTGCTATACTTTGTACGCTCGGGCCCGGTTCTCCGATGCCCAAGCCTCGGCTAACC